AACAACAATGTTGTTTAAAAAAGGTATTTGCAATGAACAAGTCGTTGTTCTTGTAGAATTCTATCATGCAATCTCCAGCATGATTTCTATCACCAAGGCCATATTTTCCAGCCACGACTCTTGGTGTGGCACTGTGGTTTAATGCACCAGACTGTAAAACCATTTGAACTGCAAAGGTCAGTGGCTTGAGCTCACCAGCTGCTCCTCGGAAGCCCAATACAGGGTCACTATGGGTTGGAACCAACTTGACTTAACAACAACAACAATCCTTCCTCTTTACTTCCAAACTCTGCATTCCAATCACCAGTAATTATCAATACATCTTGATTGCATGGTCAATTTCAGCCGGAAGAAGTTGGTAGAATCCTTCCATTTCTTCACCACTGGCTTTAGTGGTTGGGGCACAAATTTGAATAACAGTTGCATTAACTGGTCTCCCTTGTATGGATATTATCCTGTCACAGACAGTGTTGTACCTCATGACTGATCTTGAAACGTTCTTTTTAATGATGGATGCAACACCATTCCTCTTCACACTGTCGTGCCCAGCACAGTAAACCATGTGATTGCCAGAGTTAAAATGGCCAACTTAGTCCATTTCAGCTGACTGATGTCTAGAATATCAATGTTTATGCATTCCATTTCATTTTTGATCATTTCCAATTTCCCTAGATTTGTACTTTGTACATTCCATGTTCTGATTATTAATGGATGTTTATAGGTATTTCTCCATATTTTGAGCTGTGCCCCATCAACAAATGAAGGTCCTAAAGGCTTTATTCCATTCACATCATCATGGTCAACTCTACTTTGAGGAGGCAGCTCCTCCCCAGTTGTATTTGAGCACCTTCCATTCTGAGGGGCTCATCAGCCAGCACTATGTTTGACAATGTTTTGGTTCTCTTCATCATGTTTCAATTGTCAATATTCTGGTGCTGCCTGACAGTGTTCCACTGCTAGTCATAAGGGTTTCAGTGACTCACTATTCAGAAGTGGTCTGTCATTCCTTCCTAGTCTGTCTTAGTCTGGAAGCGCAGTTGAAACCTGTTCACCGTGGGCGACCCTGCTGGTATGAAAAATACCCGTGGCATAGCTTCCAGAATCACAGCATCACACAAGCCCCCATGGTTCAACAAACTGACATGTACTTAAAACCCTAACAGCTTCTACTTATTCTTAAATTCCAAAATCTTTCCACACTTTAGGTATCTCTTAGAATATCACCACACTCTTATATTGGCTGTCTCTGGCTGCTATTCCAGAAACACCACGAGTAGATGGCTTTAGCAAACAGGAATTTATTTTCTCAATTTATAAGGCTGGAAACTCGAGTTCCGTGTGTCAGTTGCTGAGATTCCTCTGTCTGTCTGCTCCGAGGGAAGGTCCTTGTCTCCGTTCAACATCTGTGGCCTGGTGACCCTTGGAGATTTTCAGGTGTCTTGTCATCGATCTTCTCCTGGGTCAAAGGTTAACAGCATCAGGACCCTGGTTTCAAAGTTCTTGGTGTTCGGGGGCCAGTCCTCTCTCTGTTCACTTCTGTCAGATAAAAGGGGGTGGCGGCCACACCCCAGAGAGACACCCCTTACATCTGAGATACCACAGCTATGACCTGAGTAACGGTGGTGCACCCTGTCCAAATCCACTCACACCAGATCACACCAAGGGGAGGGTCACACCATTACATCACTACCACGCCACTGACCATCGTGGACCAGCCACAGGGACACATCCATCCATAGTAACGGTGGTGCACCCTATCCAAACCCATTCACACCAGATCACACCAAGGGGAGGGTCACACCATTACATCACTGCCATGCCACTGATCATTGTGGACCAGCCACGGGGACACATCCATCCACAGCAGTTACGGACCGCTCACCATACACTCCCCAGCACCACCCACCCCCACCTACCAGTCACTATCCCCATAAGCACAGGGCAGTAACAGTCCGAGTCTTCACTCATCTCTTCTGAGATATAAAAGGAGATTAACCAGCAGTAAGGGCACAGACTGCAGTGGCGCTGTAGGAGCAGCGCTGGACTGTGAACCACAAGGTCGGCGGTTCAAACCCAGCAGCTGCTCCTGGACACCCATTATGGAGCTGCTATGAGTCATTAGCATAGTGGTTACGAATCGGGCTGCGAACCACAAGGTCAGCAGTTTGAAATTA